CCCTTTTTAGGGGGGAAAAAGGTGTGTCTTATACTCTGAAAAATATGGTATATTATATCACATTATGTTATGATGTCTTAGGTTCTTGGAAAGAACTTGAAGTGTATGAAGCCTACACCAGCTGATAATAATAACAATAACAATACAAGTAGATACTAGAATAGAAGAGAGAAAATTGGAGAAGATCACAAAGTACGAGAATATGAAAATCAAAGTTGGAAGATTATGGCATAAACCAGCCTGGTTATCAGGAAACTGGGTACCATACTATTAAATATTGGATGGCACTAAGAAGATCTGTGCATTAACAAAAATTTCAATATGTTAATTTCAAAAGGCCACACTGCTTGAATCTATACATATACTGCCTGGATACATTATAACATCATAGGTTCTGAGAAGAACTCAATGTGTATGAAAGCCAACACCTGCGAAAGAACTGGCAGCTGTGATTTCACATTGATGTGTATATAATAATCATCTGCAATTCACTTTGTGGAGTCTGAAGAAATAAATGCAGTGTTCTCTAAGATGATTTTTGCTCATTGTGGCTAGGCTTATATCTATCCTGGCTATTGTCTGGGTCTGAGGGGAGGCACAGTGAGTTGAATCCACAAAATGATCAACACCTCACTTTCAGAGATGGGGGATGCCAGAACCCTTATACTGTACCAGGGGTCTCCAAACTTGGCAACTTTAAGACCTGTGGACTACAACTCCCAGAATTTCCCCAGACAGCATGACTAGCTAAGGAATTATGGGAGTTGAAGTCCATAAGTCTTCAACTCGTCAAGTTTGGAGACCCCTGCCTTATACTGTGGCTGTGGCATGCCCCCTTCTTTGGATCTGGTTACTTGAGATATCTACTGCCATCTCTATTTCTTTTGCAAGGTTTCTTGGAATAATGATAAAAGATTGCTCAAGAACAAATTATTTGGACCACTTTTACTCAGCTTCATGGGACTTGGGATCCTTGGTAATAGTTTCCACATGGGGTATCCCAAGATTCAAGATTCTGACCTGTACTTTTTCAGTACTGATAAGATTCTCCTGGGTCATCCATTAGTTCAAGGTATGATGTCATAAAAGTTACAGTGATACTCAGCTTTATATCACCAGGTAATGCTGCTATGGAGATGCTGCTAATGTCTTGTCCAAGTGCTTAAAGCCTGTAGGATTCTGTAGGGAAACATGACTAAGTTGCTTTTTATGAATCAAGGTGCCCGGTAGGCTTCACTATTGTTTCTAACAGGGAGACAGTATTCCTGAGAAAGCAGATCTGTGGTTTGGTGGTCTTCCTGGACTCATGGCTATTGTTGAATTGGTTGGTAGAAGTTGTGAACAGGAAGGCCTTGATATAACAGCTTTACATCTAGTTGTGATGACAGTAGTCCAGCATGGTTTGAAAAACTGCAATGAAGCTCTCTTTGAAGACCACATAGAAGGTGCAGTTTGTGCAAAATGAAGGGATCCATATATTAACAGATGTGCATGACTCTCATTAACTTCCAATGGGCTTCCAGGTCCAAGTCAAAGGCCTAATGTTGACCTGTAAAGCTCTAGACAGCTAGGTGTCTAGATATGTTTGGGAACACATACTCAACTGGAATTCATCTTTCTGACTAGATCATCCAGGGAGATTTGGAGTTTTGTTCCTTAGTTCTATGTGGTGAAGGGGGCTGAGATTTTGCCCTTTCTTTGGTTGTCTGAAATAGCATATGTTGGAGACTGAACGCCTATCATTGTCCTTCATCTTTCTGGAAGTCACTGAAAACCAAGTTGTTCCAAAGAACACTTAAAAAAAATGAGTGCCATGATCTGGCTCTATTTTTAGATTTACTTCTTTATTAACTAATACTGTACTACTCAAGTCACTGAACATGCTGCTCACTCCTTATATTTCTTCACTGAAACAACTCTGTGAAGTGGGTTGGGCTGAGAGAGTTTTTAAAGGTTCCATACCTAAAGGAGGATTCAAATTCATGGTCTCTTGGTTTGTAATCCAGCACCTTAACTATGTTATTTTTATTTTATATCATTGATCAAATTTACATAGTCACACATCTCACAAACATGATTCTGGGCAGATGTAATAAAACAGCTGTTTAAAAACAAATTTAAAATAACAATTCAAAACAATTTTATTATTACCGTTGCATTATTTCTTCCTTTGTATCTTTTGTTCTTAATCCCCTTTTCTTGTTTTTTTTATCATTATTTATTGCTAGTACATAGTATTATTACGCCTCTTTCTATGGAGAATTTAATTTCTATGTTTTTAAATATTGTATGTTACTACTGTAAACCATCAATATTCTGGACAAGTTCATTAACATTTGAAGTTTTGTCATTCACTAATATAACAAATTCTTTTCTCCCTTCTACCCTCACAATTGTTATAGAAAATTGCTTGACAAATTCATAAGCAATTTCAATATGTGCAGAGGCATTCTCTGTCTGAAAGGCTGATCTTGCACAATACCCTTAAACAGGTCAACTGAAGAAAGCTGATTTTACACAACCTGCTAAATTTAGTTACATTAACCTTAAGTAAGCAATTAGCAGTTCTTTTTCTTTGTTTACCATGCTGGATGAAGTTTGATTACTTATGATTCAATGTAAATCCTAACAAGAGTTAATTCAGCCTATTACTTGAATGTAGGTATGAATCTGAAGAAAGATAGCTACTGAATATCTGAGATTGGCTCTATTCTATATTCACAGTTGTCTGAAGTTGGATTTCCATTTCGAGAACTACCTTTGTAAATCTAGTCCCCTATTGGGAAAGTAGAACACCTTTTGCTCCCTTTCTGCTAATAAGGTAGTGAACATTGTGTATGTAGTGGGAGGAAGCAGAAGACATCCATTGTATTTGGAGTGCCCAATTGTCTAAGAGTATCAAAGGATAAGGTAGTATCAGATGAATGTTAATAAATGGCTTCACTATTCACATCCTGTTCTCTTTCCCTCTTTCTATTAGGGTTTTTTCTTTATTTATGTGGCTGGTGGCTGTTATTTGAAGTTACTACGGCAACCTGTCACCATCTGGTGTTATAAAGTATGATGAGATTTTGGTTGCTAGGTGCTGAAGTTTGCCATCTCTTTTTGTAAACTGGTATTCTTCTCCCACATATTAGAACCGCATATTAAATTCCAAGGAATTGTAATTTTACTGAACTCTGTATATAATCAAGCCATGTTTTTCTTTTAGATAGATAACTCCTTACTTCCTATATCTTGTATTTTAAAATTCTAAAGATTTTTTTTTAGCTAATGCTTCATAATATAGGTATGTAAGGCTACTCGGCACAATATGACCATTTTTAAAAAAGATTACTCAATCATCCCATCATACTTTCTTTGCTGTCAAAGAGTTTTGTATAGTCACTGAAAGAGTATCTCATTGTCTTTGACATAATGTTTTGATTTTTGTGTGCTGCTGACAGATATAAATTCAGTAATATCTACTTTGTCATCCCACTTGACCTTCGCTCCTTTCCCTAAAAAATCTGGCAGTATCCCATATTTCCAAATAGCCAATTTAGATAATGGTAATTGTTTATCTTTGCGTTTATTATCTCTGTCTAATGGTAAGAGGTTATTGTGTATTCCATCATTATATTTATGTATATTATTGACTGCATCTATTGATAATAGATTCATATCTTCCAAACAGATTCATATCTTTCTTCCTTAACATTCTATTAAACATTTCCCATACCAGTCTAATGTTTCATATGGTTATACTTATTTTCACACATGTTTGACCTAATTTCAATCATGTCTATCTGTACGGTGACACAGTCTTTAAGAAGTAAGCGTAGCTGAACTGCTATGTCAAAATTTTGCTTAAACCACTTTATTTCCTTAACTGCTAGATATTTTGGAACTGGCATCAAAGTTCTCATTCTTACGTTACACATGTACCAGAGTGCATATTACAGTCTATGAGTGGTTACTTGAGAAAAGTGTCTTCATCCTAGGTTTTAGACATCAAATCACAACTTAAAAAATAATAAAAAAAATAGGGAGTTGCTTTACGGACTAGCTGGATGCTCACACACACCTTGAATCTACTACTCTTATTCACTTTCATCCATTTCTTAGTGTGTTGGTTGACTTGTACAGTTCTGTACATTTGACAACATTCCTGGGGAACTCCACAACAAAGATACTTTGAAATCAGTCATGTAGCTTGATTGGATGAAAAATGAGATGTAGATTACAGAACTAAGTACAAAACAGCTAATGGCAATATTAAGGGTCAGTTGCTTATAAAGTGAAGTTACTGAACGGCACTGGTATGATAAAATGTTTCGGCAAGAAAATGTACCACTAATTTGTATTTGGAACATCCAGTAATCAGTGACTAAAAACTGGATAGCAGAACCATAATTTTAACTCTTCTGCCAGCTGAATTGTTTTAATAAAACAAAGCATGTCATCTGTTAGTTCACACTGTTCCCAATTGCAGTTGGTAAATCTGCACACACATTTAAGGACAACAGTGCATTTACAATGCTGCAGTACACAGATAGCCAGATTTTGAGAATTGGCTTTTCTCAGAAAGATTTACATTATAAAAATAGTTTTGATTTTGCTGAACAGTATCTTTCCAAAGATGCTGCTTAAACCACAAGGGATTAGTGGAAATCATTTTGGGAAGGATAAGCAGGAACATTTTGAAAAGCTTTCAAACATGATCAAACAGCTCAAAAATCAAATAAAAAGAGCAATCTTAAATATATAAGATTCTGCTGTTTATACTTATGAGAGTTCCTTTTCGCAATAAAATCAGTACATTTGAATAGCAAAGCTGATCTTCAAACAATTACAATTTTTAACTCTGGTTTGGCGAGCAGTTAACATTCTAACATCTCCATATGATCCAGAAATGCCTGCCCCTTAAAAGTAAAATATAATGTTTGCCTCTTAAAAGTAAAACATAAGCTTTTCTTAGAGAGAAAAACATTAGTAACAAAAGCTACAAAAATCCTTACCTGAAAGATCTGGGATTACCTGCTGCAAATCTCTCCTTTTAGACCTCCACAGATAACCAAAGCTTTGAGTAGTGAAAAGGTAACTCCAAAAGCTGAAATAAGTTATCATTTATGTAGTAATTTGCACAGTTTATATGCCAGAACTATACTGGTCTGCTCACGTAGGAATAAATAAAAAAGCAGCACCAACTGAATAGAAGCTACCATATGAAAGTAAAAAAGACCTCTAGTGGCTACAACCTGAAGTTAAAGAAGCTTCATTTCTAGCTTTAAATACTGTAGTAGACAAAATGGTTGGATATATTAAAGTACAATTTTCACTCATGAGCGATCTTGCATTTGTTATTAAATAATAAAAACAATAAAAAATGTACATTTAAGGAAGGAGAGGTCAGATTTCTCAAGTTAGTTTAACATATAAATTTCCAATTAGAATGAGCAATCATTCTAAACAGGAAGCCAGTCTGATGGACAGATATCTCTAACTTCAATTTTCTTGTGCATAGTGGACATGCATATATGGATTTTTGTTTTGTTTTTTAGAATTTTTGAAAAGTTTTTTTTTTTTTTAAATAATAATTCTGTCAGAAAGGCACTTGACTTAGTATTAAATGCCAGCCAGTTTCAGCTTAGGAAAATTTAATATACTACCATTCATTAGAGCTTGATGCTTTAAGGACAGGTATAATTCCATAAATTAGAAAAGTAAGAATACATTTGTCAGCTTGCGAGTTAAATTTTCTTAGGGCTGCAGTTAAAAGAACTTCAAACATCTCAAGCAGACAGATGACACTTAAATGGATGTAATTGACAGTTCACATTGGCTATATTACAAATGCAAGTCATGTTTTGGGGGAGAATTATCAAGATATCTGTAAAAAATGTACTTGTAAGAAATGTATGAATCTTCTCAGGGAAGATCCCCCCCCCTTTGTTCTAATTCTGAGTCCACTTTTTGAAAGGGTGACATTTTTATCACCGATAGAGCTTGACTAATTTTAAGATGGTTTTTATCTCTTCTCTTTCTCCAACCCTTTTTACACAGCTTTTTTTGCCCAGTGAAATCAACATTAGGATTCCACAAATAGAATTCCTTTCCTTTTAATGAAATGTAGACTTAATGTTTTTATGATTATTTGAACATTCGTTAACAACACAAGATTTTTCTGAACAATTCTAGAAAATTTCTTTAAAAATGTATTGTCTTTTTAATTTTTTTTAAAAAAATATTACACTTCTCTGTACCAGATTGTGACATTGTATCTGTGTAGCAAAACACTGCCCATTATTATGTCCAAGACTACTTATTTTGAGAAATGCAAAGTTTTGAAAATTGCAGCTCACACAGTATAATCAGAAATAGTTCTTTTCCTTCCATTGGGTATTTGGCATGTGTTTTTTTATTTTATTTTATTTTATTTTATTATTTTATTTTATTATTTTATTTCTTATTTTATTTTATTTTTTATTACTATTATTATTATTATTATTATTATTATTATTATTATTATTATTGCTTTAATTTATATGCCGCCCTTCTCCGGAGACTCAGGGTGGCTTACAATGCGTTAAGCAATAGCCTTCATACTTTTGTATATTTATACAAAGGCAGCTTATTGCCCCCACAATCTGAGTCCTCATTTCACCTACCTTTGAAAGGATGGAAGGCTGAGTCAACCTTGAGTCTAGTGAGATTTGAACTTGCAGTAATTGCAGGCAGCAGATGTTAATAACAGTGCTTTAGTCCACTGTAATACAGGTTCTTATTTTATTACTTATTTTATTTTACTTTAATTTATTATTTTATTTTTTAAATTTATTGACCACCCATTTTACCACAGGGTAACTCTGGTTGGTTTACAGTATTAAAAAGATAAGATTTTACAAAATCATACACAACGTGAAAGAAATAATACAAAAGATAAACACTTATTGATGTTGATGTTGATATCAAGGACATAATATAAGTGTGTTACTTTATCTCTTAATGTATCTAATCTGGATGTATATATATGTTTCATCACGGTTAATCTGTTTCTTTCACAGAGTCATTTTGTGGCCTGCATGACAGCAATCCTGGACCAAATGAATGATCAGCATTATTCTTCATACATTGAAACTTTTCAGACAAGCTCAGAATTAGTGGTAAGTGGTCATGGGAATCAGTCTCAAGCATATTCATCTCAAAATGGGCTGGTTTTTTTAATTTTTGATGTATAAACTAATGAATATTAGTTTATATAACAGGATTGCCTTTGAAGTTTCAGTCTTAAAAAGAAAAGTGGGAAATTATGTAGATGAACTAGTATTGTAAACCAATATTGGATTATTTGTCTTTTAACAAGGTACTTTTCAATTTTAGTATATTTGTTGCGTTGTCATATCGGTGCAATTTCATGCAAAAATGGGGTGAGGTAGAGTGGTATAAAATACTAGCACTGATTTTATTTTATTTTATTCTGTTGCTCGATTGCTGCAGTCATTACTAGGCATTTTGTATAATTGGGTCAGAAATATGTACATGTTGCACTGAAGATGAGAACAAGATTTCTTTTCTGTTTTTGAGGAATGCATGATATTTAAATATAAAAGATAAATATCCATATTTTTTTTCCACTAGGACTTTTTGATGGAAACTTTCATAATGTTTAAAGATCTGATCGGAAAAAACGTTTACCCCTTGGATTGGATAGCAATGAGCATGGTGCAGAACAGGTAATACAAACCTATAGAGGGCTATAAAACTTGCAGCCTCCTAGACAATTTTAAACATTGGCAGCCAGGAAATTTTGAAAACCCACCAAGGTTAAATAAATGTCAATTGGGAATGATAAATGAGTGGCTGCATTACCTGGCAGGTAAAGATGTACACTGTTGGCTCTTAAGTTGTGTATGCTTGCTATTAAAAATCACAAGCTTGTTTATATTATATCTATATTTCCTATCTACAGTATATTAAAGAACTATATAGTTCTTTAACTATCCTGCAGTCTTAGGAAGGCTGTTTTTTTTTTTTTTTAAATTGAGTTTTATTAATTAGAGATGTGAAGATCAGGTTAGCTCTTCCCCATTAAACGGTTAACAGAAGATGACCTCTGGAAGTTTTTTTCCTCCACCATACCTTTTTAATTATGTAAGTCATTAGGAAAAAGGTCTGTAGAAACAGGACCATTTAAGAATTCGAATTAGATATACATTATCTAATTACGTGATCCTTTAAAATATCTTAGTAGTCATATGAGCACACGGGTTTTTTTCGTATGGAAGAGGTTTCTCTGTGTGCAGCCAAATGAGGTCTCTGGTATTCAGGAGCCCCAGAATGAACCATAGTTCAAACGCCAAATTGTGACAAAATTGTTGATCTTTGGTCCTACAGTGTTCAGCGAAAAATGTGAAAATAAAGGTCAGAAGGAGAATGTGAAGTTGGAGGTTCTGGAAGACTCTTATTAGCATTAACATAACAACCCCCTCCCAAACTTTATAGTTATGAAAAAATGGACCCACATAATCCAAGGATCTCTTTTAATTTGTCAACCTCTTGGCCAAATTCTGGCCTCTGACATAGAAGAAGTTGTCCATCTGTAATCTGATGTGATTCCATGTTAGTGTTTGCATCCATAGGGATTTCCAAGGAAAGATATATATCACAAACAATGGATTTCGTTTGTGATTAAGTTTTACATATTTGTGACCAAAATTTTCAACCAATAGGATGTGCAGGAGAATTCTTTTCTCTCTCTTTCCCTATTGATAATGTTTTTAATCTTTTGTGCGAAATTCTTCCTCCTTTTTTTTATTACTATACTATAGCTTATCTATTCAGCCATGGTGCATTTCAGGTATATTTAATGTATATCATGTTTCATATCAGAATTGCTGCATTGCTTGAATTTACTGATATCCTTGCCAAGTTCCTGTTTGATGTATTCTGAATGGAATATGAAGATGCATACTAAGTTGAAGCTGTTTTCCATATTCTCCCTTGCATTTGGGGTCAAACATAATTACAAATAGAGAGAGCTAGTTTTGAAACAGTAAATGAAGGTTCAAGGGCTAGGACACAAGAGATTTGCGTCAGCTTTAAAAGTCTGGAACTGAAGGAAGATTGCAGGTTGGCAAGATGGATCAAATTATCAAAGGGTTATAGGTTTTTGTTTTTTTTGTTTTTTTCATGAGAAAGGCAAAATGAGTATATGAGAGTATCAGACAGTAAAAAGTTTGGGCTGGTTTATCAGTTTTTAGCCATCAGCCCTTTGAATTTACTTGTTTCATTCCATACAATTTACAGGTAGGTGCTGTAATATAAGACCATTCATTTAACAACAGATCAAAGTTACAACAGCCTTGGAAAACATGACTTAAACCACATATACACATACTTGATGAACATATCTTTTCTTTTATGTACATTGAGAGCATATGCACCAAAGACAAATTCCTTGTGTGTCCAATCACACTTGGCCTATAAAATTCTGTTCTGTTCTGTTCTGTTCTGTTCTGTTCTGTTCTGTTCTGTTCTGTTCTGTTCTGTTCTGTTCTGTTCTGTTCTTATAGCTATTACACTACTCTTGCTGTCTTGTGATCGCAATTTGGGAGCTTAGCAACCCACTCATATTTACAACTGGCTGCAGCATCCTAAGGTCAGATGATAATGATTTGGAACCTTTTTTTGCCAATTTCTGGCAAAAACAATAAGAAAAACCCACAGGGAAAGCTGGATCCACCTAACAATTTGACGTGACTTATGTTTGCAGTGATTTACAATGAAAATTCCAATCCTAATGGTGGCTGTAAATTGAGTTGAATCAAAAGTAACATGTCCAATCTATAAGGTACCAACAGATGTTAGAAACTCTAAAGTGTTTTTCAGTATTGCCTGTTTAATTCACTTGGTGGCAAGTTGCTATAAGAAAAGGTTGCACGCTCATCAGTGTGCTTTAAACAAAGTGACATGACTGAATTTTTGAGTACAAATACTCATTGACTTCTGTCCATTCATTCAGCAACTTTTCAATGCTATGGTGGCGTTGACAAAATGGACATAGAACCAGTCCTCAAAGTAGCATAGAATCAGTCACATGATCATGCAGTCCTGCGGTCACATGATCATAATCTGGTTCTCTTGGGTACCTAACTCACAATTACATGTGGCAGGGAGATGAAGGCAATGATGGTCACAAATAAGGTTTTCAACCTTCCTTGCTGGCTTTCCACAAGCAAATTCAGTGGGGAAGCTGGCTCCAATTGCTATCATAAGCCAAGGACTACCTGCACTGAAGGAGTCCCTTCAATTAAAATTTACTCCCGAATGCAGATTATCTATGGTGATAACTCTGTACAATATTGTGAATTTCTGGGCCAAAAAAATGTAAAAAGGTACACCAAGAAGAGCTAATTTGTGTGATCAGGAATGAAATACATGATCTGGTCAGTGTGGATTGTAGTAGCATTTCTGCTGAAAAAACAGCTGAAGGTGAGATCCAGGCTGCCGATGTCAGCGTTCAAGTAATGCACTCATAGAAAACAAAACTCTGAGGCAGGCGAGTTCCTCAAAGAACAGTTTTTTGTATACATCATATTGGCACAACTGGTGAAAGCCAACTCTGAAATTTTCTGCATCTTTCATCTGATTAAACATAGAAGTTTTCCCTTTCCCTCTAAGTCACTGGTCATGCTGTCCAGTCCAAGTGTTGGCTGGTCGCTTGGTTACTATCACCTCCTCTGGCCAGCCATCTGTGTGAATGACCTTGGTTCCCACAGGAAAACTTTATTGTTTTGGCTACAAGACCCCATTTAACTATTTCCCCCCTCCCACCATTGTGTGGCAACCCTGGAGCTTCCAAGAGGGCTTCAGCCAGGCTCACTTCAGGGTTGACAATACTTTCTGGACTTGTATAGGTGACTTCTGTGAGCAGATAGGCATTATTGTCATTTCTGCAGCTGCAGCTTGCATTGAGCTAGGAGTCATGGGTTCTATCATCTCTGAACTGTACAAGCAGCCTTCATAGACACACACAAACCTTTTAATCACTTACACTTTATTATTTTAACTTCTTCTTTAAGTTTGATAAACTGTTAATCTGTTCCAAATAAAGTTGACTTGACATTGGTAATTTTGTCAATGTCTACAGTGTTCAAGTGGTGCTCCAGTTGTTTTGGCATTGCACTCAAGGTGCCTATTACTACAGATCTATTTTTGCTTTCTTTTGCCTGTAATTCTATTTCTATTTACAGGTCTTTGTCTTTTGTGATATTCTCTAGTTCTTTCTCTTCCATTGTCACTAGGTACTGCCGAGTCCATGATCCAGACTTTTTTGTCTTTCTTATGGACAGTTGTTAAGTCTGAGGTGTTATATGGTAGATTCTTATCTGTTTGAATTTTAAAGTCCCAGGGCATTTTAGCTGCTTCATTTTGTGTGACATTATTTATTTTGTGGTTCCAATTATTGTTATTATTATCTCTTTTATTCATTAAACATGAAACTCAGGCAACTGAACATTTAAAAATGTGTCACAACTACAATTGACCGGTGCTAATGGTTGATACGGGTTGCTGCCAGTGTCCTAAGTATCAACCAAATATCTTCTTAAAATATATGATGTTCTGAGTAGCACAGTTTTTTTCCGCTGGTGTTATTGCAGGAAGCTGCAATTTCTTGATGTGTTTTGTAAATTTCTTGGACATGGTACCAAGTGCCCCAATGACAATGGGTATCACTATTACATGTTTCATCCATAGCTGTGTAGTTTCAATGGTCAGGTCGCGATATTTCGTGATTTTTTCCAGTTCTTTTTCTTTGACTCTGGCGTGTCCTGGTACAACAATGTCAATAAACTGTACACTTCAGCCCTCGACAACCATGATATCTGGCATGTTGTGTTACAAATGGCGATCTATCTGTATTTGAAAGTCCCACAAAATCTTCACCGTCTCATTTTTGATAACTTTTTCCACTTTGTGCTCCCATGACTTTTCAGATACAGGTATGCCATATTTTTTACATAGTGACCAGTGCAGGGGTGGGTTCTACTTACCTTTATTACTGCTTTGCTCTCGGGCATGCGTGCTCTTCTGCGCATGCGCAGAAGTGTTTTGATGATGTTGGGGTCGGTGGGCGGAGCCTTCCGCCAGTTTTACTACCGGTCCTAGGGTTTGCGAACTTCTACAGGCAATTCATCCCCTCCTTTGCGAAGATTGCCAAACCCATGATGGACCTCCTAAAGACAGGGAGCCCAGGAACAAAACTGCCGGGATAACCTCTACAGTGGGACCTAATCTGCCAAGAGGCATTTGAAAGACTAAAAGAAATGTTTGCGAAGGAACCGGTGTTGAAGCATCCTGACCCGAACAACCCTTCATCATCCAAGCAGATGCCAGCGACGTGGCACTTGGAGCAGTGCTACTCCACAGAAATAGTCAAGGAAATCTACAACCCTGCGCCTACACCTCCTGCAAAATCACAGACACAGAGAGACAATGGGCAGCATGGGAAAAGGAGGCATTCGCAGTGAGATGGGCACTGCTAACCTGGCGACACCTGCTGGAAGGGGGCCAAAAACTGTTTGAAGTCTGGACTGACCACAAAAACCTGGAGGCCCTCAGGACCCCATGAAAACTATCGCCCAAACAAGTCCGTTGTGCTCAATACTTCAACTGCTTTGACTTCGTGCTAAAGCACATTCCATGGGGAAAGAACCGGGGGCAACCGACCACTGGACCAGTGGACTAATTTAGCAACTTGATCATGTCTAGCTTTATAATTAGTTTGCACGATTTTGCTGCACTCACATATTAAGTGTGAAACAGTTTCAACTTTGTTGCAAAGTCGGCAGTTTGGATTGTCAGTGGATTTTTGTATCTTCGCTTTCATGGCATTTGTTTGTAGTGCTTGTTCTTGAGCAGCAAGTATTAAACCTTCCATTTCTTTCTTGATGGTTCCTCTCTTAAGCCATGCCCATGTCAAGTTGTTATCACATTTTCCTTCAATATTTTTCAAGTGCTGTCCATGTGGAGCTTTGGTTTTCCATCCATTTAATGTGTCATCTAACTGTTTTTCCTTATATTCTGCCTTTGTTTCTGTTGTTTTTATAATGTTCTCTATTTTCACAACCTGAAATAATAATAATTTATTATAAATTATTATTATTATTATTATTATTATTATTATTATTATTATTATTATTGTTGTTGTTGTTGTTGTTGTTGTTGTTGTTTGTTAAGGGAGTGATAAGAGGGATTTAGACTAAATAGAAAGGGAGATTATACTTGTTATGTATTTTTGTTAATTTTTACTGGACCTTTGTTGATTAATAAATTAAAAATTTAGAAATGAGTTTATTGAAAATGGGATGAGATATGGAATGAAGGTTTTTGGGGTTGTCATTTAAGAGAGCAATAGCTTGTTAATTTTGAATATGCTTGTTGAGGATGAAGGGGGGATATCTTTTTCTTACTATCTTTTCAGGAGAGATTTTTAGTTTAGTTTTATCTGTTTAATACAATTCTTAATAAAATTATCAAAAAGAGAAAGGCTGAAGAACTGCTAGAAAACAATTGGTGGGTCAAAGACAAATTGATATTTCAATGAGGAATATTGAACATCATATTGATGTTGAACATATTGATGTTCTTCAGTATTTGAAGGTTTGTACGAGGTAAGTTCCTCACATGCTGACAGCAGAGATGAAAGCTTCAAGAACTATAATTTGCCAGCAATTGTTGTCATGCTATGAGAATAGATATTTCTTCACAGAATCGTGACAGCTAGTGAAATATGGCCCAGGAACTAAACACCACTCCATGGCGTATCATCATAAAAATTTACCTGCAAAGAAGGAGAGATTCAAAACTCATGGTTACAGATTTTTGGGATGCAGATGGTGTTATTCGCATGAATTTCCAGGCACTGTTATTAACTCAGAATGTTATACTGCAACACTCAAAACTTTGAAACAATGATAAGGCAGAATTTGGAAACACAAAGGATATTTTGCTACAAATTGATTACATTGGGTCTCATACTTCCTGAGCCACCCAATACTATAGGCAATTGTGATGTTGGATTTCACCATTTTACATCTCCCACCATACAATCTAGATTTGGGTGTTATAAAAGTTCCACTTTTTCCCAAACTTGAAGGAATACTTTAGAAGGCATCTGTCTGACTGAAATGATGAGGGAACAGGACCCCATAACTTGTTTGAGGATGAAGGACAATTAGTGGATTGCTCAAAAGGAAAGTGCTGTCAACCTTGGCATTCACAGGAATATGTGGGTCACTTTATTGATGTTTTTCAATACCATAGGAGTTTGTACAACAAAAAGTCCTCACAAAGTGGAACAGCTCCAAAATGTGAGTTCTTTTACACCTGACAGCTTTAAGAACCGTATCCACTTTTGGCCAAAGTGTGATAATTATGTGAAGAAGTAAATATAGGTAACAAAAGATATAATTTAAACAATTATTTTCCTATTTCATTTATTAAAATATTTTTATTTAAACCAAAGTTATGGACCTGGAGCATTATTTTTCATTTAGCCCTCATACTTTATTATATTTCTTGACCGCTACAATACTTTAATTATGTCCATACTCATTTCTCTTTCAGTAGTCAAGCCATTTTGCTTAGATTGAATTTTAGACATTAGTACTCATTTCATTTTCTAATGCATTACTTAATTTATTCCATGATAATATGCATCATATATGCAATTAAATGTTCTTTAATTTGTGTTTACTGTAGATGATATTATATGCTCTAGTTATTCTCTCTCTACACATTTCTAAGGTATTTTTAACAGGCATGTAATGCTTAGTTTGTATTACTGTAAATTGACAAATATTAGTGGCTTCATGTCCTCTCTGGGGATTGGACTAGTTTTCTTTCTTACACTACAGTTGTTACTTTGCCTACCATTTCTTTTAGACAGCAGTAACTATGGAAAGCATATTTCATGATGCATTTTCTGGAGATCTTTGTAATTTTAGATTTCTGAGAGATAAACTATGTCTCTACCAGTGTCTTTCTTTTACTGAATTTCTAAATACATGCAATATTATGGAAATGCCTTAAATTTCCTATCATCCATTATTCCAAGGGAATTGAAACCACTTAGATATTGAACCTTTAGAACAGCGATGTTGATTTCATTCAGGGCCACATCAGGGTTGTGTTGGACCTTGGAGGGCCAGGGGCATAGCCATGGTGGCCATGGCCATGGTGGCCATGGCCAGCTCAACATCACTCATGTTGGGGACACCTGTGATGGCCAAGTACTAAGGCAGGACTTCCTTGAGACCCTCACTCACTCTCATTATAATCTCCTCCCTCCCTTTCTCGCTCCCTCCCTCCCTTTTCTTCTTTTTCCTTCCCTCTTCATTCTCCTTCCTTGCTCTCTTCCCATCTTTTTTCTTTCCTCTTTTCCTTTTTCCTTTCCTGTCCCTTCTTGCATGCTCAAATGCAAAAGGAAAAACATTTCTCCTTTTGTTTCGTTTTTAGTTTGTTTTGATAGCCCTCTGCAAGTGAAAACAGAGCCTCCTTCTGCCCTCTGCCTGTGAAAACAGAACATGGGAAGGCCGCGTGCAGTCTCCATATGCCCTGTTTTTGGCCATGACGGCCTCCTGCAGCCCTTTGGCAGCAAAAATGGGGTGCAGGGGGTGCGTGCAGCCCCCCTGAGCTCCATTTTTGTGGGCAGATCCTTTGCTATTTTCCTTGAGTTTGATACCCTTGCTCTTGCTTTAGAACTTCCACATGGATGAGGAACTGGAAGTGTACATAAGAGAAAACTAAGAACCAGCTAACAGATGATGGTTGCTATAATAACCAATGAACGAATTCCAAGATCCTCACTTTTTGGCAGTGATTTTATTTATTTATTTAGATTTAGGTACGTCTTGACTCCAATAGTATGAAAACAGGTTGTTGTTGTTTTTTACATTGTATTTAATTATATAATGGATTTTTTTTTTTGTAATATTGTCATTTATGTATTTCCTACAATAATATTTTGTTCAAATATTATAGATGGTTCACTGCACTAAAATAAGAGTAGAATAAATTAACTCTTTCCAGTACAGGTGTAACTAACACAATATCCCCTGAGTTGTTACTACAGAACTAGTTAAGACATTATACTTCTGTGTAGCTCGGTCCCAGTCACACAATCTATAAAGTCTCTTTCCTCAGTTTTTATTTTTATTTTAAGTCAAAGACTTTCCCAAATAAATATCTAAGGGTATTTTTTTCCTGTAGGTTCTTTTTAGCCATTATTGTTTTCAAGCCCCAAATTTCCCATTTCCCATAATTTTCTGACTTTACTCTCAGAGAATTTATTCTTGAAATGTGGACGAAATTTTCTTTGAATTCATCATATTGAGGACCCAGTTGTGGGGGCAATAAGCTGACTTTGTATAAATATACAAAAGAATGAAGGCTATTGCTTAGCGCATTGTAAGCCGCCCTGAGTCTTCGGAGAAGGGCGGCATATAAATCAAATTAAATAAATAAATAAATAAATAAAATATTGTATTACCTGAGTCTTGAAAGATTCTAGTTTACTTTGGAAAAAATTGGTTGGGAAAAATTGATTTGTTATTTCTCTGTGTTTAGTTGTCCTCTGATTTGAAATACTGCTGGAAAGTACCCATTTTGATGGGGGGGCAAGTTTATGCTCCTCCATGCTCATTGCATAATGATTCACAGAAAATCATTATGGCAAAATTTTGAGCAAATCTTTGGATGACAAATTGTTCCAGGAAGCACAAAGAATAATAATAATTGTATTTAACCATTTCTTATATAAGTAATTGCAGTTATTTTTTCCATGGAACATAAAATTCTCATTGTATTCAAGATGCATCTTCATCATTCAGCAATATAACTCTTACAGAACTTTTTCAGAAAAATCATTCAAAGATGAATTTCTACAACATCCATTGAATAAAGAAAGCTATATCAACTGGAGGTTTTCTAGTCTACAAAGTGACAGGACTGGAAAAGAAGAAATAGCAAGTGCAAAAGTGGTTACAAAAATGACAAAGGGAAAACTTTGGTTTCTTGACTCCTAGCACATACTGGGTATTAGACTGAGTCTGAGACAAACATGACCTAGATGGATTTCATATGGCTGATGCTGTGCATCATAGGATACTGAAAGGGATGGCTGATTATCTGAGTTTATATACATTGGATTGAAAATATTTGCTAAAGTATGCTAAAGATTGAAGTACCAGATGATTGGGTTATGTCAATGTTTCCTCATTTTCAGACTTGGTGACTACTGGTGAGGTATTCTTCATATGAATGCCTGGAAATCTATTTCTAGATTATATCATAAAGTATCATTCTGAGTGATCTTATTTTCCTCTTTAATCATGCAATTTTTGCAATAGAGCATGGCAATGCTATGGTATATGCAATGATATGATACCACCAAAACATTATTTGGCTGTACATAACATGGGTGACTTTAAAAGAGTATTCAAAAGAGTATTCAAAAAGAGCCTTGGTAGTACGGGGGTTTAAGGCACCCTGTTATTAAGCTGGTTATTAAGACCAGCTGCCTGCAATTACTGCAGGGTTCGAATCTCGCCAAGGCTCAAGGTTGACTCAGCCTTCCATCCTTTCTAAGGTAGGTGAAATGAGGACCCAGTTTGTGGGGGCAATAAGCTGACTTTGTATAAATATACAAAAGGATGAAGGCTACTGCTGAGCACATTGTAAGCCGCCCTGAGTCTTCGGAGAAGGGCGGCATATAAATCAAATTAAAAAAAAAAAATTCCTGTAACTGGTCCAATATCAAACTGAGCAAATTTTCATCTGAAATGCTATAGAGTTTTATCACACATTGAGCACTTTTATTAAGGACTTGGTAAAGTGGTGATAAGAATGCTAATAAAATGGCAAAAGATTCCAAAAGGACTTATATTTAATTATTTACACAAATTTTAAAAATGCCTCACTACCAGTAATTCTAAGTGCTTTACACCATTAAAAGGCAGTGCAATCGTCTTATATTATAGAAGACAGAATTAAAATTAGAAACAATTTTAGGTTAGATTAAAGAAGTGGACAGAAAATAACAGAATTAAATTTAATAGAGACAAATATGAAGTTCTTTCCTTAAGAATTAGGGATATCTGATCTAGTAGTAGCACTTAAATTGTTGATGACAGCCTGAATATGAATCAGTGCACTGACTCTGCTGCTAAAAAGGATAATGTAATTTTAGACTACATAAATAGAAATGTAGTTTCCAAATGAAGCTTAAGTTACAGGAATCCATATTCTGGTTCAATGTTATGGAGAAGATTCCTAACAGAACAATTTTATATGAATATAATCAGCAAAGGCCACGGTGATCTCACATTATGTGTTCAAATCAAGATATTAGGTAGCTAAGTGTCAGAAGAGAAGAGAAGAGAAGAGAAGAGAAGAGAAGAGAAGAGAAGAGAAGAGAAGAGAAGAGAAGAGAATTTTATTGGCCAAGTGTGATTGCACACACAAGGAATTTGTCTTTGCTGCATATGCTCTTTCTAGGTGATAATAATATAATATAATATAATAATAACTATAATCTTGATCTTTTTGTCCACAAAAAAAAAAAATGTTACAGAATAATCTGAGTTCTTAAAAAGTCCGGAAATCTGATTTAGGTAAATAACCTTACCTTAAACAGAATGTGTTATGATATTTATTGAAATCAAGTAATTACCATATTTTTGAACTATAAAATGCACATTAGCTTTAGAGGAGGAAAACAAGGGGAAAAAATCTGCCTCTCTCTCCATTGCCCATTCACCATCGCCGCAGCCCGTTCATGCC